GCCGGGCTCCGGGCCGGCCGCGCTCGGGAACTTCTCCCAGGTGGGTAAAGCCCAGGCGTCCCAGCCGGGGTGAGCCAGCCAGCGCTTTGTGTGGCCTTGCTCGCTAGAGAGCTCCCACAGAAAACTCCAGTGACTCCCTTGATCGCTCTTTACGCTCAAAACTGCCTTTTCATCACTGGGTGAATCAAGACACTGGAAACCTCTTAGCTTTTTCCTCCTTAGGCATAGAACGTGTGCTGTAGTGGCAGGTTCAAGCTGAGCTCTGGAGAGCTGGTGCCTCCCGCTGTGGTTCCTCGCTCGAGGTGCTTGCCTGCACCTCAATTAACTCCTCATTCCTCAGTGGCAGATCGGAGCACTTCGTCTCCATAGGGTGTTTATAGACAGACAAAAAAGGACCCAGGTAAGGCGTATGCAAAATTAATTCATCAGCAAAGCAAAACTTGGGTCTGCAGAGTGACAAATGGGTTTTCTGGGAATGTGTGAGGTGGTTCTGGGTTCACATGCTCTGTGCGAGGGCATTCTCTCCTCCACGGGGCCGGCGCACAGCTTGGCGCCCAGGAGAAGGCCAAGCAGGGCAAACGGGAGCTCTTCTGGCTTCTCCAAGGAGCAAGGAGCCCCTAAGCTGAGGGCTGGGGCACACCTGAGGGCACTTCCTCAAAGGCGGTGAGATGGGTGGTGAAGACAAGAGGCACTTGAAAAGCCCTTGGAGGAGAAAGGTTAAGAAAATACTTAAGTTTAGTACGACCTCTTTGTTAAATACTATGGAGTATTTGGGGATTGTCCTAAAGGTTGCACACCAAAACCCTTCCGAGACACGTCAAGGAGGAAGTCCAGCTATCTGGCAATATCTCCTGTGATGACTGTGGATTGTGTTATTTATCTAGGCGGTGGAGTGGTTTGTATATGCAGATGGTGGAGAGAGTGGGTGATGCCAGTGGAAGTTATCTGATAGCCCCAACAGAAAAACAAGAGCTCTGGGTGTATGAAACAGGAGAACTGTTTGGAGGAATGACTGTAGTTAAATATTTGCTTTATGGCACCAACACCCTGCTGTTAAGGGATGCATGAGACAAATATAATTTATGAACTGTGGTGACTCTTATGCTTTGTAGCTGGTTGGGATCTCAACACAAAACTTTGTAATACAATCGTGTGTAGGTATTTACAACAGTGCAGAATTAAGACCACGATACTGTACAGGAAGAGAACAGTATAGGATATTCATTATAACTTTGTACGAAGCATGGAATTACTCACCTAGGGAAAAGCAAGCCGCCATCACCTTATGCCCCCATTGCATGTCGTCAGCGAGAGAGGAAGACAGAAAACGATTTCAGCGAGTCTTACACAGCTCCGAGGTGATGGATCCCGCCGTCCTCAAGGCAAGAGTGACCTCTGGATCCAGCTGTACCGGCATCGGAGGAGACGACTCCCAGTGTGCACTGAGCATGACTATGCATTAAGTGTCTACAGGAAAAAAAAAGTTTTATTTTGTCGGATGTAATGTTAGGACAAGAGTGCATGGGTTTTATTGTGATTGCCTCTGGGCAGGCAGGCTAAGGAGGCAGCCTCTGTTGTGGTGGCCATCCCTAGTATGTTTATGCACCTGTGTTTTTTAACCTCAGTCTTTTCAGTGGTATTTGGTTAGAATATTGCTGAAGATTTGAGTCAGACCTGCATACCTTCTCACAAGAGGAGGATGATATCAGTCTATGAGGTTTATGCAATAATTATTCAATTGAACAGCTTATTTATTATATAGGTAGAGGATAAAATACTGATTTATGATTACGGGAACTTTGGGTCAGAAACACAAGTAATTCTCTTTACACAGTGTCTTATTCAGACTTTGTGCTAGCAAGGATTTTCTTCTGACTGATACAAAATAATAATAAGTAACACATTTTCTCTCACCCCCAATATACAAATATAATCCATAACCTTGTTACCTTGTACCAATTGTGGATAGAACTGTTTTATTTATTTATTTATTTCAGTAGTGGAAAGTACATGATTGTATGACTGAGAATGCCCCCCTCTAGTGGCTTTGAAACCGTGTGCGTCTGGCTCTCTGTACTGCTGTATTTCGTTTCCTGAATTACATGGTATAAATTTGCTCTTTACACAAAATTGTATTTGGAGTCTTCATGTTTGATAACTTCTGGCTGAATGTACTGTACTTCATGTTTGATAACTTCTGGCTGAATAACCTTCTGGCTTGATAACCTTTTCACTAAAGGTAATTTTGTTAATATATGGAGAATATTACTGAGCTTTGGCTCTGCTCCATAAATATGAGGAGATTTAAAGAGTCAGCATCATTGCTAATAGTCTTCAAATTTGAAGTTTTCGTAAAAATTACACCCTTGAAAGAGGTTCTGTTCTCTGCTGTTTTAACCCCTTCTGGATCACAGATTTCCTTTTCTAAGGAAGAGAGATTTTTGGTGCTTTTTGCTTGATTGTTTTAGCTTCTCCATACATTATTATGCATCACACTTTGTCTTTGCAAATGGTTAATGTCATAGCTAAGATGTTGGGTGGACTCACTGAAGCTATGAATCAAGTTATCAAAACAAATGAAGAACTTGTTCTGCTTCTTCCTTTCTGTAATTTGCAATTTTCTTGCCAGCAATTTTCAAAGAAAAGAACTATTCTAGTGAAAGCGATTAAACGAGTATATTGAATCATACTGTGAGAATACAATTTTTAGAGCTAGCTTTTGCTCAATATATACTTTCCTTATTAATTCCTACACTCAGCTTATCTGTAATTAAGATAGAAACAGAAAAGAATTTTCTAATGTCTAGTAAGGAGGTAAGCTGTAAACCAGCTAATCAAGAACTTTCTATTAATTAGTAAGGAGATCAGCTGTAATTTTGCTCCATTGTTAACTTGTTTACTTGTAATCTGTTTCATCTAGTGGGCAATAATCTCATTATAAGTATTCACCTGAGTTCAATTAACTTGTACTGGGGGTAGAGACCATGGAAAGAAGGCGGCTGAGGGCTTTTCACAAGTTTATGTCTTTGTCCCTGCCGAAGGAAAGTTTTTCTCTATCTTTGGTGTTTACCCAGGGAATGCGTTTAGATTTCTTCCTTTCTCACAATGAATGGAAAATATTTTTTGCCTTGTAAGTAAGTAGAACTTTTATGCTGAAAAATGTAAGTAAGCTCTAAGTAATGATTTAGGCCAGTCTTCTTAGAAGTTGCTGTTTTTCAAGAATTGGAGAGGTAACTTGTCCTCAGTTTTAGTGGATATGTTTTTCTTCAACAGCAATATTTTGCTAGTCTGCATTGCTGTTGAAAATACCTGTACCACTAATAGTAGTATTTATTTATGGTCTAGTAGCATAGTTATTCAATTAAGTAGAAATGTTAACATATGTAATTAGTATAAATTAGTGAATCTCTTTTTGAAGAAGGATTTAAGTGTTGTGATATTTGGAATCACAAATTCTTGTAAATTTACAGTTAGTGAAAAATGTAGATTTTGCTGGTTTGTTTCCTCTTCAGGTAAGTGCAACTCTTTTTCAAATACTTCTTTGGCTGAGTGGAAACAAAAAGTAAAAAAATTATTTTTCTGTTTGCTGTTACCCAGTTTAAAATGCTGTTTGCCCAGTCCCCAAAGGCTTGTTGGGATTTTGATATTGCTGATCTTGCTACTTCTACATGTTTGATTCCTGCCACCCAAACATTATTAATAGCGATATACATTATTTTGGATTAGTTTCTGGGTGTATATTTTTCATGTGTTCTTTTGATGGATGTTTGTATATTTTCTCACCTTTTTAATAATGGGTTATGATTCGGAAGCTGGATTGTACATAGTAGTGTGTTGTGTCCCTCTCTATGTGCCAGTTTTACCTATGGTAGAAGGAGAAGCAGAAATTTCAACTAGGAAGTTAGCTTTGAGGCAAGGAGTTGACTACAATTCTGAATTTTTTTATTTTTTTTTTTAAGTAATTTATAATCAGTTGTAGTAATTTATTATGAAGACGGTAGAAATTGCAAAGTCAAATGACTTTTTTAACATAAAAGATGGAACTAAGATAACTTTTGTCTTTGTTGATAAAACTTTGAGCCTGCATTTGTGCAGGGAGGCAGAGGCTCGATAAAACAATATGGACTTTAAATCTTCATTGCATGAGTGGTGAGGAATTATGTTCTCTGTTTAACATATCTGATCAGCACTTGAGAAAATTAATTTGTAGGAGGCTCTGTTATGTATTTTCCAGAAAGTCATCTTAGCCTCCAGCCTAAAAGGACCCGTGGGATTTGAAAGTCCAAAAGGACCAGCAAGTTTATCTTTTTTTTTTTTTTTTTTTGGAGTTTATTTACTGAAATTGAGTTTTACTGTGATCATTTTTTATTTAGCCTGGAGCTTTGGCTAAGGCATCTATTTGAAGATATTGAGAGATGGAAGATTCA